AATTTGTATTTCTTCCCCTGACAGGCACTGAGTAACCTCTCGGGAATTTGATAGGCTTGTTTAGGTGATGCCAGGAGGCATTAATAATAAAGGTGACCCTCACCTATGGTCTGATCCTGGGAGGAACTGAGCAGCCGCCTGGAGAAGGAGCAGGAGAGGGTGCACAGGAGGTCTTGGAACTGCTGCTGAAACCCCGCCGGAGGGGGATAACCCAGCCAAGGGGGACGGCTGCTCTCGTCATGATCAGCTGCTCTTAATGGGCAAGAAGAGGTTTTTGAAGAGCACATCTAGCGGCGTGGGAGACCAGAGAGCTCGGGGCCAACAGCTGCATCGCCAAGGCTCTCTGTGACAAGCAGCAGCCGCCAATTTCTTCTGCCTGCCCTGCACACCTCTGCACCAGACTGGAGGAGGGCGAGGAAGAGGTGAGGATTATCCCCTTAGTGTTTGCAAATGGCTTTGAGTATAGGCAACTGTGCATCTGTGGCACGACTCTGTTTACATTAAGGAAACACCCAGCTGCCAGTGCAGTTTTGCCGTTTTTCTCTGGAAAATGCCATCTTGCTCTGCCTGCCCACCAGGCTCCTGCCTGCCTTGGAGCTGCTTGGGTTTCCTTGCAAAAACTGTGCAGAAATACCTAACAGGGGTCATTGCCATGGGCTAAATGCTGGTGTCGGGCTATGCCACTGGCATCAGATGATGCCATGCATCAGATCCTTTGCACAGCATCAGGCAGAAGGTGGGAGAGAGGCAGACGGCCGAGCCCAGGCTGTGCTGTACCTCGAGGGATGGACCCTGCAGAGCGGATTTCTCCCAGCATGCCACAAAAAACCCTGCCCGGATCCCAAGGCAGGAGCGGGGGGAGCGGGAGGAGCGGGATCCAGGCAGGATTTGGCTCGCAGATGGACTGAGGGAGGGTGAGAAGGGGTTCTAACATGTGCGTCCATCCTTCCCTACAGTGACCAGTGGCTCTTCCAGTCAGCTGGAAATGGGTTTTCCATATGGCCCCCACCACACAGCCCGGCCGAGCAGAGCCGGTGATGGAGCTGAGGAATCACCGTCCCAGTATATGCTGCAGCCCAGCGTGCAGACCCACTCTGGAGCCCGTGCCTTCCTCCCCGTACCGGTCTACAGCTTGCTGACATCGCATCGAAGCCCTAGAGAGGTGCCTGAAGCCTGTCTGGCTCTGCAGCGATGCCCTCCTGGTCATACCAATAGTCATGTTCGGTGCAGGTGATGGTCTCCTAAAGGCGATTGGCCAAGGTGACCCCAGCACGGCAGGACTTGGGTTGGGTTCACCACTCAGCCAGCCTTGTTTCTGCAGACTGAGGGAGAAGAAATACTAATATTTGTGTTCCACATGCACAGTAAACTGACCATTAGTTACCAGATCAACTATAAAGACAGACTGAGGGTGGTTTGAGACTTCACAGAAATTAGCTGGGTTTAGTTAAGCTTCTCTTGTTGCAGTGAAATCAAGGGGTAAGGATGTCTCGAGGAGCTCCACACCCTGGAGTGGCAGCATGGGGGAACAGCCACACCCGGCTGTTAATGACAGTGGGTTTGAAGGTTGTTTCCTGCAGCTGCAGAGCAAACCTGAGTTTTTGCCCCCTCTCCCTGCTGCCCACACTGCTCTGGGTGCAGCCCAGCACACGGGTGGCTTTCTGGGCTGTGAGCACACGTTGCTGGCTCACAGGCAGTTTTCCACCCACCAACCCCCCCAGGTCCTTCTCCCTGGGGCCACTCTCTAGCCACTCCTCACCCAGCCTGGATTTGTGCTGGGGATCGCCCCGACCCATGGGCAGGACCTTGCCCTTGGCCTTGTTGAACAACTTGAGGTTTGAACGTCCCCCCTCTCCAGCCTGCCCAGGTCCCTCTGGATGGATCCCTCCCCTCAGCGTGTCACCACACCACACAGCCTGGTGTCGGCGGGGAACATGCTGAGGGTTCACTCAAGTCTCTTTTCCAGTGTGAGAGCAGAAAATGACTGGATCTGAGTACTGGGAGGAAAGTACCATAAAATAGCCCTCAGTCATAGATTAGGAGCATGTCATATGTTTCATTACCTGCTGAAAGACAGTTGCTGTGTGCTGGGGAATATTTATAAAGCTAAACTATTTTCAGGTCTCTGCCTTTTCCTTGCAAGCATGCAGCCAGAAAGGCATTAATAAAGTAGCCTTGATGATCTGAATGATTTATGGGGCAGCAATTCTGTAAATAGGGTTCAAACTTTTAAAGATTTATTTGTTTTCCAACAAAAAGTCATCCTAGTGTACGCAATGTATATACTGTGTAGGTTAATTATGCTATTTATATCTGAGATAAATTGTTCAGTGGGCAGTATGCCAACGCACCAGTTTAGCTTGATGCTAATGTTTTCTAAAACATTTTTTATATCCCTGGAAGTTTTGTAATGAGTTCATGTGACTCTACCAGCTATTGGGAGATGCACGTTCGAGCCAGACATCACACCACTCGACTGCCCCGCACCGTCGGGCCATATTTCTGATTTCTTATTAAAAATTCTCTTTGTTCCCTTCTGTCTGCTGTTGGTCCTTCCTGCGCTGAAGCACGCGAGCAGCAGAATGCTATGTCGGATTTTGAAGTGCAGGCAGCTTTCTTTTCAAATGCTTCCTTTAAAAACCCCTTCAATATTGCAGCCTTCAGAAGTCCCCCCTTTCTGCCAAGCCTTTACATTACTTTTATCCTTTGTTCTGCTTCCTTTAAGCCTGGTCCCCCTTCCATTACGCCTGCCAGAGGAATCCAGAGTACAAAGCTTTCTACCAGTGCCTCGCTTGCTTTCTGCCTCCCTCCCTCCATCCCTCCAGCATCCTCCGTGATTACATCCCCTCCGATGCTCTACAGCTGTTCCCAAACTCCCCTTCTGCAGCTGGAGCTGCAAATCACTCCTGCCCCACATAGGCACACGGGGTTTGAATTTGTGCAGCGTTTCAGTCCCAGGGGCTGGAAGGGTTTTTTTGCTCTGGCTTTCAGTAGAAGCCAGGATGCGGTGGATAAGGCTGACTCCCAGTGGCTCACAGTCCTTGACTCGGCCGGTGCTTGTTCTGCTTCCTATTCAGGCGAGGAATTGCAGAAGCACTCTTGTTCTTGGAAATTTTGCCTGTGCACATAAGTAGATTTTTATCCGTTCCTTCCAGATGCTGCAGCTATAAGTGCCCGTGTACATTTTGTTACGGTTCCCCAGATAACAGCATTTGGAGTATCACTCCTTCAGAAAATCCATGCAAAACCATCTGTGATTTTCTGCTCTTGGATGGATAATTGGATTGTAGTGTAGGGCGGGCTTGGGGCTTGGGTTTGTTTCCTTGCCTGAAAACTCGAAGGTACTTACAACCAGGCTCCAAGAGGCTTTCAGACAAAAACAAAGCCCTCCATGCCCATTCCTGGCTGAGGGTGAGCAGTTTGCCACCAGCAGCCCCAGTTAACCCACAGCTGCCCCACTGGACATCCCATGGCTGCTGTCGTACAGTCACACACCAGACAGCAGCCTCATTTCTTCCAACTCAGGGCTTGGTCTCATATTTTAAAGCTCCCTTTAAAGAGCTGTAGCACTTCTATGATACCATTTTAATATCTGTGATAAGTTCCTTGAGGGCGACCCAGCTTTCTTTTCTTTCCTGTTGATTAATTAAACACTGGGTAATGGTGTCATTTCTAATTATCTATAGACAGGGCCAAACAACAGCCAGCAGCGTAGTGGTCCTCACCCACTCCTATCACAAAACACCTTGAGGAGGTGACACTGAGGGTCACCAGGATTGAGGATGCTGCTGCACAGGGCACGGCAGTGGCACACGGTCCCCAATGCTGCGGAACGTCCCAGGTGGAACCAGAAACGTGAAAGCGGTAAATCACACCATGGAGCAGGTGGGGAAAGGGAAACAAAGCAAGGGAGATGCTGGCAAAGGCTGAGGGGTAGGTGTGGGGTGAACAGCAGCCTCAAATCACCCCAAGATTGAGTTGCTCAAAACCATCACAGACTTCTGGGCAACCTGCTGGGCCACTGGTGCCAGGCCATCATGGTTGGTCTCGTCAACTGGAAGAGCATCTGACTGCAGGACATTGAGCATCTGTTGCCATGGTGCAGTTCAGTGGCCATGATGGTGGAAGGCTGAGCCAGATCAGCAGCGGGAACATCAGCCGAGCCACCCGCCCATGCTGCTCTGAGCTGGAAGCGCCACTCCCAGCTCCTTGACGGTCACAGGAGGCTAATTCTGGATTTATGCAGGCAGCAAAACCACAATGGCCTTTAGGAAAAATAAAATTTGAAAAAAGAAAATGCAGAAAACAAAGAAAGAGCAGCAATTTGGATGGGGAACGGAGCTGAAGGTCATATGAGGCTGGCCCAGGTGGCTGGCTGGCTGCAGCTTGGTGACAACCTGCCTGGTCCTGGCTGCCCTGATCGCTCTTGTGCGTGGCCCAGACATGGCAGGATGTGGCCAACGAGGTCCAGGGCTGCAGTGTTTCTCCCGCCTGGTCCCCAGCACAGAGACAGCCCCAGTTTGTGACTTGTGTCCCTCACAGGGAAGCCCTGGCCAAGCTAGTGTCTGTGGCTCCAAGGGAAAAACCTTCATCTCCCGCCAAGCCAGTGGTGATGGAGAAAACCTTATAAATGCACTTGACTTCTGTTGGTTTTTTTAAGAAATAACAACCCATCTTCTATCTGCCAGCTCAAGTGCTGTGGAGCGCATCTCCAGCACAGCCAGACGGCTGCAAAAAAAATAAACCTCCCAGGCTCTTTCCCCTCCGGTCAGAGGAGTCACCGAGATCTGTTGGCTGCGCTGGCCCAGTGCAGTCCTGCTCACCTGATTTATTATCTCTGCTCAGCACACAGTGAAGAGGATTCTTCCTGGGAAGAAAAGTTGGCAACTCAAGTCAGTCCCTTGGAAACAGCCAGTGTCTGTCTGAGCATTCATTCGAACGAGCAGAGAGAAAAAGGAAAAAAACTGTAGCAGAATTATTTTTTTAAATGGAGAAATTAAAGGCACTTGCAAAGCTGGACTGCAGCAAGGTAGTCAGTATTTCTGTTTGGGAAGGCTGGGACGGAGACCTGCAGAGATGAGTTTTGCATATTCAGAAAAGTAAACAGCAGAGTCAGCCTTGTTTTTTCTGCAGAATTACAGAAACCAGATATGGAAAAGACCTATTAACTCATCTTTCCATTTCCCTCCAGGGCAGAGCGGGATTGCTCCCTGGAGGAGATTATTTTTAGCACTCTGTCGAACAGAGTTTTCAACGTCTCATGACATGGGGGTTTCTCTTCCAGGGATTTAGATGTATGAATGATAAACCAGATTTTGCCAAAAGAAGGCTTGACCCAGACATGAAATGAGGATCAAAGCAGCGCTATGAGGTTCAGAAATGTTTGCCTGCATGTTTTCTTTTCTCTCTAACATGTTTCTGCATCTCTCTACAGCGAGCCTTGCCTGGGAAGGAAACAGAGGCAACGAAGCCCGGTTCTCCAGGGATTTTTGTTCTTACAGAAAAGAAGAAATGCGACAATTGCTCTGGAAGAAGCTTCACACGGGCACCTCACGTCCCAGGGAAACGTGGTACACGCTTGCATTTATGGGGAGAAAAAGAGGCACGGCACTGCTCGGTAAGCAGAAGGAGGTAAGCTGTGCCAGCGGCAATTCCTGGCAGGGGTTTGGGGTGACTGTGCTCCAGCACAGGCTCTGCAGGGAACCTGCTGAAACAGCACCCACTGGCCCCTCACCCGCGAATCTCCTGCCTGAGGGTCAAGGAGCTTTGAGCTCTCACACCCACAGTGTATTTTAAACATGGCTTGAATTAATGCCACAGCCTTGGTTGCCTCATCAGGGTCTGCTGCGGTCCTGCATGCCTTGCTGCAGCTGGGGCCATGCATCGCTTGCAGCTTCCCCTGTGCAGTCTCTCTCCCTCCATCCTGCACCTCTCTTTGATCATAAAAATTAAAATTGTTTTCAGCCTGTGAGCGTATTTTTGCTGCATGTGGGCTGGGTGATGCCAGCCGGGGGGGGGGTCTGACTCCCCAGGAGCCCTTGGCTTGGGGAAGCGGCTGCAGGACCCGGTGAAACCTGGTGTTTGCGCCCAGAGCAATTGCAAACAGTTTGCAAATGGTTTCAGTGGCTGTTTCAGTGTGAGGGGGAGGGAGAAAAGGGGGAGGAACTGGACTTGGATGCTGCCTCTGAAATGATTGTTTGCAGGCCAGTAATTCAGGTTGCAGACAAGGCCCCATTGACTCTCAGGCGAAGACAGGACGGTTCGGTTGTTAACCCTGGCGAACTGGTGGCTGCCTGCATGCTGAGAGGCGGACCCGCCGTGCGCTGGGCCAGGACATCGCCCCGAGCTGTCCCAGGGCCTGGCCCAGGTTTTGGGTACCCCATGCAACACGGCTGTGGGAACGTGCTTGAGATGCCAGGCAGGGAGGTTTGGAGCCTGGGGCATGGTGTGAGGGTGGCTCTTCCCAGCACCCTCGCCATCTCTTGACCTCAGCAACAGCACCCATGAGGTGTACAAGCAGGAGAGCATTCAGGGACAGGAATGCACCTCTGCCAGGCTCATGAGAGCATCTGCTGAGGGAGAGGAGTACCCTGAGGGCTGCTCCCCTGATCTGAGCACCCAGAACACCCCCTGGGCAACTCAGGGGGCTGCTGCAGGCACAGGGTGTGCACTGGGGTTTTGTAGGTCCTGCATCCCCACTAAGCAGTGGTATACACTGACAGGGGTTATCACAACTGCCACGGGATATTACAATGGCCACACACAGCCACAGGGTATCACAATGGCCATGCACTGTCATGGGGTGTCGCAACAGCCACTGGATATCGCAATGGCCACACACAGCTACGGGGTATCACAATGGCCATACACTGTCACAGGGTATTGCAATGGCCATGAGTTATTGCAATGGTCATGCATGGCCATGGGGTATCACAACCGTCACCCACTGCCATGGAATATCACAACAGCCTAAGTCCCAGACAGGTTTACTTCATGCTGCCAAAGGGTCTTGGCAGGATCATTCCCCTGAGGCTTCATTCCTTTGGGATTTGGGGCATTTCTCCCATGTTTCCTTTGACCTTTTTTCCCTCACAGCTCAGAGGAGGAGGAAATGTTTGTCTGTAAGAAGCAGGTCTCTGGCTGAATTCCCCTCCTGGGGGGGAACCTGTGTTAGTGAGAGGTTTAGTTTTATGCAGTTGTGCTTTGCCCAAAATCATTAGCTTAACATTATCACGGGGTAAGTCAACAAGTATGGAAAAATCTACCAAGGTTACATTTTACCCACTTTTCTTGCACCTTTGGAGATGAAACTCACATGATGCTGCTAAGTTCCAGTGATTTATTGGTGGGCTGAGAAGCTGGGTTTTAAATACTGCATCTCTGGGATGCTGGCAACCTTGCTTCCTATAAATCTAAACTAGTATTTCTAAGCCCTTTTATGCCAGCTGCTTTCATGTATTCAGAACCTTTTCCATGCAGTAGCCTATGAAAATATTGAACCGATGCCCAGAGCAACACCAGGATATGAAGGGGAAAACTTTAAGATGTTTTGTAACTATTTTTTAACAGAACCTGCCAAATCTTAATTTTTCCAGTTTACAAGTAAGAGCCTCTAACCATCTGTTTGCTGTCAACTGATGTTTGTTTGGAAAGGAATTTTATTATTTTTTTCCATCTCGCACTCCTGTTCTTACAACTAGTTTACTGAACTTCATAAATGTCAGCTTTCACAGTTGTTTTGTAAGCCAGTTATGATTTAGGATTTAATCAAAATTGAGCAGTCAGTGTCTTTAATCAATCTGAATGGAGATCAAAAACAAAGAAACGGAGACTGAAAAATGAAACATTTAATGTATCCCAACAGTCTTTGAAAGAGCCTTATTTCCAACATAATAGCTACCAGGAATCATTATAACAAACTTTAAAAAAAATACCCTCCAAAACTGCTTGTCGTGTTTTTTGAAAGATAAAAAGGGCTGAGGCAATTTAGGGCTTAAAAGCAATTCCAACCTTTTATCTCATTAAGTATTAAAAATAAACCAGCATCAGCCACTCTGTGGCTGCACCGTGCCGTGCCGCAGGGAGCTCTCGGCAGTAAGGACAGGGCTGCTGGTACCCAGACAACTCTTTCCTCTCCCCATTTCGCCTGTCCTGTGCCGCGGTGCCAGCGTGATGCACGTCAGAGCAATTCCTGGGGATTTTGGCCCCGGCACTGCTGCGGCCTGGCACCAGCCCTGCCTGTACACCGATTTACAGCGTGGAAATAAAAAGCGGGGAGGTGGGAAGTGCAGGCCTCGTTCCCCTGGCAACCCTCGGTCCCTCTCTGGCCTATGCGAGGCCCTGTGGGATGCTGCGCTCCGCGTTTTTGCCTCCTCCCAAGGCACCTCATCCCCAACGTGCTGTCAGGCGCTTGGCTCCCATGAGGGACCGGCCACGAAGAACCCAAGTCATCCCAGTGGGGATGAAATGACCCGGCATCTCCTCCGTGGTGGCCGTGTCCCTCGTTAGCTGGCATGACGGCTGCGGTTAGCCGGTGTGGGTCAGGAAAACCGAATTAATTGGGGTGGCAAGTGGAGCAATACCTGGATGAGTAATGAAAGAGCGGAACTGGACTCAGAAGGGCCTGTCAGTGCCTTGGCGCTGTGGCTGCTCCCGCCACCCCAGGGCGTGAGGAGGGTCACGTACGGCAGGGCCGTGCGGGCAGGGAGCAGGGCAGAGCGTCTGCGGCCCGGCCGGGCTCTCAGCCAGGCCTGGCTTAGCTCGGCTCAGCTTGACTTGGCTCGGTTTAGCCAGGCCTGGCTCGGGTTGGCTCAGCTCAGCACAGCTCGGCTCAAGTCGGTTCGGCTCAGCTCAGCCCAGCCAAGCCCGGTTTAGCCCGGCGCTGCCGGCCGCCCCCTGCCGACGGCCGGCCGGTGAGCAGCGGGAGGGCCTAGTTCCACAGCGGCCCCCTCCCAGCCCCGGCGCATGGTTTAACTCATGAGTTTTCCACCCCCACTGGAGCTCCCTCCACCAGCCATGCTGGCGCTACCGGGAGTGGGATGAGGCTTTGGGGACCCCCTGGCCTTGCTGTGTGTTTAATTTACAAGCCAGGCCCTGACCTTTAGATTCAAACCACCAAATTCTGCTTTGTGCTATGGGACTTTGCTGCTTCTCCCCTTTTTTTGGCTCGTAAGGCCCCATCCCTGGCTTGTTTGGGGGCTCTAGGATGGGCGGGTGCCTGCATGGGTGCTTGGGGGGTTAAAGGTCCCCCTCCTGGGGGACCCAGCACCCCCTCAGACCTCTCCAAAGAGAAGAGCTGCTCCTGAGCCCCCCAGGAACCTTTAATGGGCTGCGGGGCTTTTAGTAAGCAATCAGGCTTGGGCTGGTGGGAGCGCGGGGAGCATGACTCAGCCCAGGGGGGCCTCAGCCAACAGGAATTTGGATCTTCAGTTTGGCCACACTGAACAACTGCTCAGGGCAAAGACAAGCCCACACCTGCTGCTGTGCTTATGCAGCAGCCTGGTGGGGTCGAGGTGAGCTCTGGGAAGAGGAGACTGTCCCTGCACTGATGTCTCCTCTCTTGTTGCAGAGCATCCCCCTTCTGCTGCAGCGTTGGCTTCTGATAAATGCTTTGATTTAGCCTCAAGGTTTGTGTGGCAGCAGGAAAGCCTCATCCCGGGGTGTTGGGTTCCATTTGACATCAGCTCTTGGGTAAGGCACAGGAAGGAGTGGATCTGAGCTGTAAACAAAATCCCGTTCACCTCCTGAAGGTTTGTCCATGCAGAGGGGAAATACAGGGTGTCCTGCCTCATATCCCGGGGCACAGGCTTGCCAGGTTGTGGTGCTGCAGGCAAGCTTCTGTGTGCCAGGATGTGGCCCTTGCATTAGAAAGGGTAGTAAAGCTCTGCCCAGCTGTGGGCCTCCTCTAATTACATCACTGATGAGGGAGTCCTCACACCTGGTCCCTGCCTGTGGTGGAGATGGTGGCTGCTGGTGATCTCTGACTGATAGGGTTGCTCTGTGGTTTCCTGCTCTCCTGTAATTTTCATCCCAGTTAAAGCCAGGCTTAATGTTATTTCCACTCGCAAGCAGTTGCGTTGGGTCTTGGAGGCACAGGGAAGGTGCAAAGTGCTTCCGTGGAGCCAGGCCAGGGCTTTGCAGAGATGCCAGTGGTGTGAGAGCTGCCACCTCCAGCACTAGAGCCAACGAGCTGCATGATTGCATCCATGTCCTGCTGGGCTTAGGAAAACACCCCTGTGCCAGCCACGGAGCCCTTCAACCGCTCTTGGAGTACCAGCTCCCCGCAGAGGAGGAGAAGCTTTGCACCTCCCCAGGCAGGGACCGAACAGGGATGAGAAAATCTACCATGTGTAAAAGCTGCTGCACGCATCAGGCAGGTGAGAGGCTTTGTGAGCAGACATCCTGCAGCCACCACTGCCTCATGCCCTTGGTATTCCCTGTTTGCCACCATGGTTGGTGCTGGGTGCTGCCAATCCATAGTCGGTGTGCCGAGAACCTGGGTGCTGGCAAATAAGTGTTACCTGCATCAGGAAACAGCAGGGTTTATTCCTGCCTGAAACCCAGGCTCGGCGTCGCCTGGCCTTGCAACAAACAGCCAGCACTTGGCTGGTGCTACTCTATAAAATTCCCTC